AACTGTTCTACAAAATGTAGGATAGAGAAACTGCTGACATGACTTGTGAGGATTCAAATGGTGTGTAGTTTTCACCTCTGAAGTTTGAGCTTCATTAGCAGTGACTCCTATAGCAATGAATAGGCTGCTAAGAAAGCAACAGAAGTCCTCTGTCAAACTTTGAGCATAGCAATAAAACTATGAAGCAGAATTCATACATTCTAAAACATAAAAAAAGCTGGAGGATGTAATATGAAAACACCATTAATAACTAAAACTCACTAAAACATATGAAACAGGAAACTTAATATTGCATTTAAAAAAGATAGGAATGTCCGCTTATGCACATATGAGAGCGGCATGGCTCACCAGTGACATTCGGATGTGGAGCAGTTCCCTGGCGTCTGTGCTCATGAGATGCCAGTTGTACATCCCTCCCCAGTCTGACAGCCAGAACATTGTCTCCAGACATTGCTCAGTGTTCCAAGTGGCAAAATCACCCCCTTGAGCACCACTGAGATGAGCCAAGGTTTGAATTTTCTACCATCATAGCCTGTGGCTGTAAATGTGAACTAGTTGCCTAGTTTAAGCTTAGTTTTCTTAGTATCTGAGATAATATATAAACAGTACCTAGCTCAGCACCTGGCGCATAAAGTTGATAATAGCAAATTTTGTTTATAATAGCAATTATTATGACATGGAAACCTGTTCCCTCTTGTGCCACTCTGCCTCTCCAGTTCTTGATAAGTGAAATGCCACTTTGTGTAGCCCGTGGCCAAGCTTTTGAACAAGAGTTGTTCATCTACGTTCGTCACGTGGCATTGATACTTGTATGTGGACAGCTAGCTAAGAGCTCAGGTTTGTTTTCGTCACAGCTCCTCCTCTGACGTTTTGTTTGCGTTGGGCAGAGTTGGGAGTACGGGATTTCATTCAGATCTCCTGTGATGTTCTTTGTATACGTACAATCTCTTGATTTAGACTTGACGGGTTCAAGCTTATCCAAGTTCAGAAAATAAGACACAAGTAGTATTGTCCTTCATTGTGGTTGTTTTGTTTTCAACCTTGAGGCACCAACATATCAAAAATACAAGGCTTACACAGACACAGACACCCCCTCCCCCACACCCCAACAAAGCAACACGAGGGGCTCAGGCCCAAACTGGGGTGCTGGCTGGGGGCATTCCTCCTCCACAGATTTTGCCCTCCCTGACTTCCCTCCCCTTCTATCTCCACAGCTCCCAGAGGAGGGCAGGTATGAAATACAGTTTCCTGTGACGGGGTCCCTATCCCTGGTCATGTTTCGTTAATAAAGTTTTATTTGAATGCAAAAATAAATATACAACACTTATTTCTTCTAAAGTCTATTTTTTTGGTCAGAATGATTAATGTTATTAGTATCTTATAATTGCTTTGACTTGCTGTCTCATTTAAATTTTATTGAAACTCTGGGCATTAAAGGGGGGAAGAAAAGGAGGTGAGGAGAGAACTCATGGAAGATTGTAAACATACAGCAAGATAGTAGTGTGCATTATATACTTACCCTTACAACAACAGCTGCAAAGTTAAGTTTTGTAGGCAAGCTAATGAGAGTTCATTTGCCCAAGATCTTATAACTGTTAAAGTAAGTGACAGAACACTTGGAATCCAGGTTTTTCTTCCAAAGCCCAAGCTATTTTTGCAATGTCTTGCTATCACCTTCAAATGAGAAGCATATGCCTGTCTCAGACTTGTCTGTAGACTTTATTGTGACCTGCTCTTTGGGCCCCACGTAGTGAAATATGTAGGGCCTGGCTTTTTCTGTTGCCAGTGGAGCGCCAAGACCTGTCTTGCTCAGTCTCAGCTTCTCTGGCTCTCTCTAGTCTTCATCTTTGCTCTGATCCAGTGCCATTATGCCTGGCTTATGGGAAGAAGGGAAGTTCATAAGTTCAATCTTTTTGGCAGAGTGAATAACCTATTTTTTTGATTATGTGTATTAGCTTTTATGGTTTCATATTGCTCATGAATGTTGAGCAGTTACATCTTAAGCCATGAAGTGTATGTTTGGCAAGAGCTGACTAAAATCAGACTTTAAAGTCAAGAGGACTTTATATCTGATAAGAAAATAGTCTCAAACTTCCATCTGATCAGCATTTTTTAATTGACTGCTCATTAAAAGATGTGTTTAAAATTGTCTAACCTCCATTGTCTTTGTATTTTTAGTTGAGAGAAGAAAAGTTGCAAGACGAGAAACCTCCTGCAGATCCAAGCCTTAGGCTGTTACCAGAGGATACAGAAACAGGGAAGAGAAAAATGGACGAACAGAAAAAAAGAGATGAGCCATTAGCATTGAAATCAAATTTGGAACATGTAAGTATACCTATCGCCTTTTGATCAGCAACCAGCCCAGGTGACATGGATATGAAATCCTCTGCTAGCGGTTCTCAACCTGTGGGTCGCGACCCCTTTGGGGGTCGAACGACCCTTTCACAGGGGCCGCCCAATTCATAACAGGAACAAAGTGGCAGTTATGAAGTAGCAACAAAAATAATGTTATGATGGGGGGGCGCTCACCACCACAACATGAGGAACTGTATGCAAGGGTCGCGGCATTAGGAAGGTTGAGAGTCACTGTCCTATGCTGATGAATTAGGGGAACAGTTAGTGGTCACTGATTGCATAACTTATGAATAGTGAAGAGCTTTGTTAGCATCCAGATACGAGCTGGAGAAAGTCATTTATTAATGGGACAGTGAGACTTGGGTGGGAATATTTAGGGAAAGGGGTTTGGGGTGTTGATGAAGTATATTACTTGTGATAAGGTTTTTAATATATATTGTCATTTTTGTTCTTGCGTTGCTATTTGATATTTAATTTTTATACATGATCTGCCCTGAAGTAGATTTCCTTAAGGCTTGTATTTCACTTCTCTTTATTTTTTGTAAAGTCTTAAGTAGCACAGTACATACTACCATAGATACAAGGTACCGTATATACTTGAGTATAAGCCAACCCGAATCAGCCAAGACACCTAATTTTACCACAAAAACGGGATTAAAAATGTACTGGCACGGCTTATACACGAGTATATATGGTAGGTCTGCAATATTAGATTAAAATCTTAGCCTAAAATCAATCCTAACTAGATCTCTATCTAGTTGGACCAAATCTTGCTCGACTTTTCTTTTTTTCTTACTTACGCAAATTACTGTGAAAAGCTATTACGTATATTTAAGAAAGCACTTTTGGAGGATCTACTGATTTACTCTCAAATAGATCATTACAAAATTGAAGTTTATTTTCTTCATAAATTATATTGGATTAGACATCTGCTGTTGCTTGATAAATGCACTTAACATTTTTAGAGTCATATCTTTTAAAATATTTTATGATTCAGGCTTCTTAGTACTTTAGGTTAATTTTTCTAATTAGCCAGAATTAATAAAGATAAGGGCCTTTGAACTAACCTGTATAAAGAAGGCAGACCGCACAGAATAGAAAAAACATCTATAGCCCCGAAGTCTCCTTCTTAGATAGGTCCCAACACTGTAACAGATGATACTGCTTTGGCCAAGTTGCTTAATTTCTCTCTACTTCTGTTTTACTCTTTGCAAGGCATGTTTTACCCTGTAAACTTAAAATATTGAAAAACTATTTATACTCTCTTAGACCAATAGTATATGCTGTCTCCCACATGCTGAATTCAGTTAAAATAATAATAATAGTTATTTAATTATTATTAAAATAATTACTTGCATTTTACAAGGTCTGAACCAGGCGTCCTCAAGCTATGGCCCGCCGAGGACATTTATCTGGCCGCCGGGTGTTTTTGCCCCATTTGTTTTTTACTTCAAAATAAGATATGTGCAGTGTGCATAGGAATTTGTTCATAGTTTTTTTTAAACTATAGCCCGGCCCTCCAACGAGTCTGAGAAACAGTGAACTGGCCCCCTGTTTAAAAAGTTTGAGGACCCCTGGTGTGAACCTTCTGAAAGATTCAGTTTGACATGTATGAAGTACTTGTGTATTTGTTAATGCTGTACACTGGTAACTACAAAAAACTGCTACTAGAGAGGATATAATTTAGTTTGCTTGGTTTTAGCCATCTAGTCTGACTAGTAGCCCCAGCTGTGGTCTCTTAAAGATTGTAGTTATACCATTTTACCTCAACAGAACTGCCCACTAGAAACTTCAGGCAAAACAAGTCAGAGGGACCCTTCTTTGTAGGACAGCAGTCTTGACAGAGAGAGCTCCCCTTCACCGTGGTGATCCAGGAGAAAGAGCTATTGCTCCTGGCCTGGCCAAATTCCCTCCCAAGAAATGAGCTCTTTTATTAATTCGTGTCAAGATGGGAAAGTATTCAAGTTATTATATCTTTTGCCACTACCATCTTTAGAATAGAAATTAGGTGCGTCAGCTTAATTTTAATCTTTAAAGGTGCCAGGTAGTACAAATTCTTAGATTTGACTCTATTGGTAGTAACTAATTTTGCAAATATTTTTGCAAAAACACATTGAATAAACTTTGATGTATGAATAGTACAAATTTTAGATTTTTCCTTTTTTTCTGCAGTCTATGTTTTTTAAGACTTAAACGGCTTACTTGTGTTTTAAATATGTCTCACAAGGTTTTGGTGCTGAGAAAATAATTTAGTTCAGCCAAAGCCATATTGGGACTCAAGAGATACATGGTCTTAGTGAAAAGCCAGCTTAAAGGTTATATTTTAAATAGGGAGTATTATGATTAGAGTTTGACTGGTTATTTTACTCTCCTGGATTAAAAAACAAAATCATTAGAAGACTCCCTGTTACCTGTGGAATTAAATGAAAACTCTTCACCATAACCTTCAAGGCCTCCTTTAGTGTCATTTCTTTCTCTGTCCTTGCTTATATCCCAGAACTCTGTGGTAGAGTGGGGTACTCTCCTGTAGGCATTTCCTTCTTGGGGAGCTATACTTATTATTGACTTTTCATCTCAGGAAATGTCCCCCAGTTTACCTGTTGAAAGGCTACTTACACACCCTCTCCCTGTCCCGTTCAACGGTTGTCACTTTGTTGGAGTTTTTAGGGATTCACCTCTGGTTTCTCTGCCCTCCTCCTCCTCCTCCTCCTCCTCCTCCTCCTCCTCAGCTCCTCCTCTCGCAGATTTCATGCTCTCTGACAGTAGTTATTGCTTACTAGGTTCTGAGTTTGAGGAGTATAAAATATGAGGGGCTACTCCAGAAAAAAACGGAAAAGAGCTCTACTAGGTGGAGCTTTTTTTTAAAAATCATTTTATTAGGGGCTCATACA